AGGAAGATTATTAAAACAATCAGATGAAGTCTTTACAAAGAATGTTGTTTACAAATAAATACTGTAAATAAAATATTTTTGCAAAATAGTATTTGTTTTTCATTATTTTTCTCTTTTAGAAAATCAGTGTATTTTCTAAACAATTTCATTCTTTAAAAAATGTTCAGGTACTTACAAGGGCATATATTATGTACTACTGTACTTTCTAGGGACCGTTGTATTTATTAACTACAACGGGCTCTGTTGCTAGTACAATAATAAATAATAGTCAAACTCGAAAAAATAAATAGGAAGATCAAAATTACGCAAAATAGTGGTTGAAAAATAAAACCAAGTGATATATCAAACATTATAATAAAAAAGTATGAATGAATAGTAAAAAATATTTATTCACGATAAGAAATACGCAAAGTGATATAACAACTATAATAATGGCTAAGTATGAGTTAATTGCAAAAAGTATATATAAAGACTACTGGGGAGAACGCACGACATACGATAAAAATCGTATAGTGGGCGAGCGCCCATTTGATTGTGTACGCCACTGCGAGTAAAACAGTCGTACGACAGTCGTGTATCACAGTGGCAGTGAACGACTGCTTCACGACAGTTTGTCGTAGTCGTGAGATTATCGTACAGTGGGCGAGCTCTCATAAGATCCAATGGTTCACTGTGGAAATGTTGTCGTTCCGACACAGTGTCGTACGACCGAAATCGTATAGTGGGCGAGGGGCCTAACAAAACGTTCAACAGCCATCGGCCTCGGTGGTCTATTGGTTAGCGTGCCGGGCTGATATACTGTAGGTCCAGGGTTCGAATCCTGCTCGTAGCATTAACTTTTTGTCCAAGATTTTTTTATTATCAGCAAGTTTGGTTGGTTAGGTTTGGTTATTACAGTTTAATTTTATTATTAAGTCATTATAAAATTTTAATTAATCAATTTCTAGTTTTATTTAATAAAAAGAATTATTTTTCCGATTACTAAACTTTTGTTATATTATTTCTTTATCAGCAAGTTTGGTTAGTTCGGTTAGGTTATGATAGTTTAATTTTATAATTAAAAAATAGTAAAATTGAATTCGAGGCATTTATAATTTTATTTTATGAACAGAACTATTTTTGCGACTAGTAAACCTTCATTGCCAAAGTGCTCTCTACTACAGCGCTGTTCACGGAGGAATTTTGAACTAAATGCCTCATTTGTACCTCCCCTAAGTCAGACCCCAGCAAGTTTGGTTAGTTATGTTAGGTTATATTTTTGGAAACATTTAATTTCATTATTGTTTATTGATGCTGAACAATATTTATCGTAGTTGTCTGCTGATATGTATCAATTTGTGAATATCGAAATATCGAGAAAAAAATCATCGATAATAATGAATGTTCCCTTTAACAGGAAAGTGCCGTTATTTGTCAGTAGGTAATTGAAGGATGGCGTGATAAATAGTAACAACCTAAAACCATCCGTAGTTTTAGAATAGTAAACTTGGTAACAAAGCGTGAACTTACCCTACACCGAGTTGAAAGAGCCGTGGCGCCTGACTGACGGACGTAGCGTCTCCCGAGCGCCGAGTACCCCCAGCGCCAAGGCCATAAAATACCAAAGGGTCTGCTCAGTGATGTAGAAGTGACGAGGGTTAATACCTTCTCTTTTAAAATGGTATCAATGAGTTTAATCTGTGAAGCAGTATAGAATGTATTGTATGTGAATACATGTAGGATACTGAAAATATAGTACCAAGAATGTTGTGTCACAACACCCCCTCCCCCAAAAAAACCTTAAGTGGATGAAGGTTACTGGTTAGACATAGTAAAGAAATTTTACTAGTTAGTTACGTTTCAATCATAATAGATACTATATAATAGTCTGAAAAAACAAACAAATTATACGTCTAATAACACTAGTACTAGTGTACAATTTGTTTGTTTTCCGGGGAATTTAATAACACGTACGATGCTGATCAAGAAGTTATTAATATAATAGTGCAATTATAATGATAAAATAGTGTTTGAAATGTAACTCCCCTTTTGCTCCTCACTTGGTCACTGGGAAACAGGAGTGAAGTCAGTGAAATATATCCTAAATCGGATTGTTGGTAATACTCAACTTACATATGAAGAGTTCACTGCCATTCACACACAAATCGAGGCAGTCTTAAATTCTAGACCATTCTCCAAATTACCGATGATCCTGATCTACATAGTCCAACGCAAATTTTCTTCTTGGTGCATCACTATCATTATAGATTATAACTGGAGTCACCACATTGTTTTGCTGGTTTTTCAGTTTTTCGTGTTGTTATGTTCTGTATTTCATGTATTTTATGACCGGTTGGTTCAAATTCGCTGTCAAATTCGATCCAATCAGGGGCCCATTTCATAATAAAGTACAAACTAAGTAAATCAGCTGATCGCCCAATGCAAATGTAATGGAAATTACAAGTTACAAGTTGTAACTTGTAACTTGTAGCTTATTATGAAATGGGCCCCTGATGGGGTTATTTTCTTCAGCAACCGCAAACAATTTATAAATGGATATTTCCAAACAGAGAAATTAAAATAGGATCAGTAGTCCTTGTTTACTGACGAACAATATCCTCCGTCAAAATGGCATTTAGGAAAAGTTGTACTAGACGTTTATCATGGGTCTGACAACCTCATTCGCGTGGTAGTTGTTAAAGAAGTACTCTATGTCTACTATCTACTGCCTGCCATAGGGAGATAAAATCACATGTTTTATTAATTGTTGTTATGATCTGTTTGTATTACATGTTTACATTTATCAGTTGTTACTAAACAATGTTAATTAAAGCATCTATTCTTTTTTATCCAATCAATTTCATCAATCACTAGAGGACCCATGCTGTTCCGCAGCCTTAAAATAAATATATTATCCGAGAAAAAAATCAAATTTATGATTTTTTTATTTTGTAAAAATCAATTTACAGTATCTTGAAATTTACTGATTCAAACTATCAATAGCTCAAATTAAAGCCCATAATTTACTGATTATTTTGAGTCGAAAACATAAAAATAACATTGAAAATACTGGAGCTATTAATTTTTAATCATAGAAAAATCTTATGAAAAATAATTTAATGTTGGTTGTTCACCTTGCGTTTGCTTGAAACTCGCCCGATTTAAATAACTAATACTGTAGCTTAAATGAAAGCCGGTATTTCACTGAAGGTTCTGGACCAACATTGCCTATATAGGATTATATAATTATAACTGGTGAAATCCATCTTAAATTGAAGTAAGAATTCAAAAGGTAATCAAATTATGTTTTTTATCAAAGAATACAGTAGGTAAATATATGCCGATGCTTGATGTGAAATCTTTGTGGGCATACCTTCAATATGAAACATCAATCATGAAAATCGGTCGGGTAGAAGAGCCAAACGAACTCGGCAAAGAAAAACCAAATTTAACTCCCACAAGAAATACATGGGGAGCAAATTTGGTTTACGTATAGGCCGTAGAAGGGAAGCTAATTTAATTAGGCAAGTAGTTATGCTCATTTCATATTATTCAACATTTCACTTGCATTCGTTATTACTTTTTTTTCAACTTTCAATCTTTCAATATTGTATTTGTATTAATATCGGCATGTCAACTCTGAAAAATGATGTAACCATAAATAAATAAATAAGGGCAAATATTGTAATTTTTCTTTTCTCTCAGTGTAAAAATACCTAAATGGTCTAGCCAGCCAGTCATAAGTGTAAAAATTAGTGATGAGTCAGTCCACGACCAACTTTTTAGGTGGCCGTGGTCAGTCAGTGAGGGTTCTTACTTTAATTAATAGAGGAGGGGAATAGGAATAGTCACGGCCGCCAAAGGCAGCCGTGGAATAGTTGATCCAATAAAAAGATACTTTTATGTTAAAGGGAACATTCATTATTATCGATGATTTTTTCGATGTATCAATATTAGGGAAATTCGCTAAAATCCGGATTATAAGCTATAGAACAAAATCGGAATTATAAGCTGCGCCACTATTTGACCATCATAAGTTGTGAAACTTGAAATCGTTTCATACCAATGATTTAGAGAAATGGTGGCATAGCTTATAATTTTTCGTGAAAGTGTGGCGTAGCTTATAACTGATTATGAGCTATGCCACATTTTCAAGATTATAATCTATGGAACAAATTCACGATTATAAGCTATGGCATTATAAGGTATGAGACCTCACGCATTCTATTGTGCCTACAAGAACGAAGAATAATATAGCATAAAATAGGCTATGTAAAATTATGAATGACATTTCGTGATACTTATGTGGTTACACTGAAATAAAACACCTAAACAAAACAAACAGCTGTTGATTTATTGCTGTGCTGACTGCTGTTGTTGTTTGGTGGCTCCAGGCCGGTGGGGCACACGGGAGATTTCTCAGGTGCCGTTTGACGTCACTAACTGCTGACGTCACTAACTGCTGCGTCTGAAGAACAGACAATTTTATAATTTTTCTATAATTAAATTAAACTGTCATAACATAACCAAACTAACCAAACGTGCTGATAATGGAAAAATCGAATGAAGGTTTACTAATCTAAAAAATAGTTTTGTTCATAAAATAAAATTATAAATGCCTAAAATTCAATTTTATAATTTTTAATTATAAAATTCAATTTTATAATTTTTAATTATAAAATCAAACTGTCATAACCTAACCAAACGAACCAAACTTGCTGATATGAAAAAAATTGTTGACAAAAAGTTAGTGCTACCAGCGGGATTCGAACCCCGCACATTCAGATTATCAACCCGCCACGCTACCCACTACACCATTGAGGCCGATGGCTCATATTCGTATCGTTGCGGTATTGGTCTTCCCTCAAATTGACGTCAGCAGTTAGTGACGTCAAACGGTACCTGAGAAATCTTCCGTGTGCCGTTTCGGCTCCCGGCTGAAATTAAAAAAAAATCATACAAACAAACCTAACCCACAGAGAAGTCTTCAACCTTCAACCATGGCCTTGCTTAGGCTTGATCTTGATTTTGTCTGATTCTGATTTGTTTAAGGCAAGGGTTGAAGGGTTGTTTGTCAAGTAATTGTAATTGTTGTGCTGTTTTATTAATCTTATGTCGATTATTTACAGTTCAAGGTCTATGTAAACTTCCTTGATTTCAGTACTCTTACTCTGGAGTTATATAGTTGAAGTCTACAAATTAATTTCTTTCTCATTCATATTATGTTGTGAGTGGAATGATCACAGTTTTATACACAACCCATTTTTAGTATCAAATTTTCAGGTTAGATTTACAACTAGCTTTCTTATTTGATTATTTGATAACCTAATATTATTCTGAAATTGATTATTTGATATGTATATTTTAATGTAAACTAGGTTATAACTACAGTTATAAACTATGACACCATCACCCTACATAACCTTTAGTGTAGATGTGACTGTACAATTGAAAATACCTGACAGTTGTTAGTTGTACAATTTTGTAGGCCTAAGCTATAGACTATGATTTAGTCAGATATCAAAGTGTTGCTTTTATAAGTACAAGTAGGTAAGTTAGTAACTTAGACCTCATATTGAATTGATGTAAAATTAACTTTTTTAATTCTCACTAACATTTTGAAACCACAGGAAGTTAAATAATGTTTTAAACAGGCTTTTAACTTACATATCTGCTTCATAGGTGTTATACTATTAAGTCAAACTTATTGTAATTTTCTTTTTACGTTATAACTTGGTTCTTTTTAGAATGACATACCGTGAAGGATGGATTGATGTAAACCAAGTCCCAACCAGAGTTCAGACTTGGGGTGGATGGATTGAGGATTCGTTAGGGGAGAGTAGTGGTAGTGATATCATAATATTTATCCCAGGAAACCCTGGTATAACTTCATTTTATCACAACTTCCTCAGCTCTCTACATCAAGAGTTGGGAGTTCCTGTTTGGATAGCATGTCATACAGGTCAGTGCCAATGTTAGGCCTACTTAATAAACCCTGTTCGGTAAAATTTTACCAAGCATTACTAAGTTAGTCTTCCACAGAAGAGCTCGGCTGGAGTTGTAAGTTAAGTTATCCTCAACTTCACATCAAGGGGTTTCCCTTTTGTTGACTTGGGTCTTAGGCTAAAACACCGATAAAAATGAAAGTTTAAGTTAACTTAATGTCTGGTTTAAGAAGTAAACATTGCTTGGCAGACACAAGCAATATGTTTGTTGCTCATATACTTGTGTTGTATTTGTAAATTTTACTGTAAGGGAACCCTTACCATCATCCCATCATGTAAGATCTTACTAAAAGCACAGAAAACATACTACTAAACTTATAACCCGGAATGCTAACCGCATGGTAAAAAGCATTAAGTGTTTTGAGAGAGCTTTGCCTGTCAATTCATAGGCAGCGCCACCAGCGTTGCTATGCTGAGTGCATGGCAACGCTGGTGGCGCTGCCTACGAATTGACAGGCAAAGCTCTCTCAAAACACTTATGCTAATGCATTTTACCATGCGGTTGGCATTCTGGATTATAGTAGTATGTTTTCTGTGCTAAAAGTAACATCCAGGCCTATAAGCTAGCCTATAACTTAGGCCTAGCCTATTATAATTTTTTAAGTGTTTTTTTTTGTTGGAAGGCCTTAACCTCCTTATTTCTTCATCAATTTGAATCATAGTAAATGATTAAATATTTTATCTTTATCTTCACCAAAAAAATACCTAGATACAATTTATTCACATTTCAGAAGATTCTTAACCCTCCGAATGTTATTTGTCGATGCTTCGACACATAACACACTTTGTGTAGTTGTGTCGATGCATCGACTCACAAACACTGTTTACGGCGAAGGCTCTATGACTGACAAAATCGGATTGAACTGGATCGAGTTAGGTATCGTTTTATTTTGCACATTCTAAGCTTTCTCCCTAAGTCTGTCTCTAAGCGCTTTTTTTTTCTCGAGCCGATCATAATTGTAGCAGACAGATGACGTGCGTATTTTTAAACAGCTTGGTTAACCTCCCACCGATGACTGATGTGTTTTATTACGTTTATCATTGTTTTTGTGTTAAAAATCAAAAGTAGTGATATACGTGGTGCATTATAAGAAGATTTAAGTGATTTTCAAGGGCTGGTTGATGATCCTGAAGAAGTAGGTAGTGATATTGATGTAAATTATCAGCCAGATTCCTAGCTATGGTTAGGCTATGCATTCTTAGCTAAACGCTATGTACCGAAATCTGTTTTTTGCCCATAACTTATTTATTTGCAAATCTACTTCCTTATATTATTATATTTTTGGAATCCTCATAAAATTTAGAACAAAGTGGCTATTTTCAAATATTTATAGGTCTATAATTATACAATTTCATTGAGCGCAAACTTATTTTTTTTTTGAAAATTTTCCAAAATATTTTTTTTTACCTAAAAACATTTTTTGAAAAAAATGTTGCTTATGTTTTATGTATAATATTGAAGACCATGATTTTCCAAACAAAATGGTATATAGGACAGTATAATTAACATTGTTTTTAAGCTTCTCAGATCCGTTTTAATAAAACCTTGCAAATGCGCAAAAAATATGCAGACATTAAGGCCAAAACTAGGGACACTCGGAGGGTTAAAAAATCAATTTAGGCCCAGCCTAAGTTTATTTCATAATTTAATTTTAACTTAAAATATTGATATAACTTAATCTAAGTTATTTGATCAGCTAACTGATTTAGGCCTATTTATAAGGTGGATTAGACCAACCAAAACTTTGATTTAAGCGTATAAATACTTTCCCAAATCTTTTACAATAGAACCTCTTTAATCCGAACCCCTGTAATCCGAACGTCCACTAATTTCTGTACTCTATACACAGTACAGTAGTTTTTTATTGTATGTAGGCCTATACTGTATTTATTGATGTACGAACCATAATTATTTCAATTGTAATGTATAGTAGGCCTACCGTTTATTCCTTATGTTTACTACTGTATTAAATAAACACTGTGTTTTGCTTTATAAAGCATTTTTCACTTTTCCCTAGCTTTTGTTATGTAAAAACAACAATATGTTCTGTAATCCGAACTATTCAATAATCCGAACTACTCCCGGTCCCAATTAGTTCGGATTAAAGAGGTTCTACTGTACTGGTAGGGCTGTTCTTTGACTTGACATTATCTATGACGACCAGTTTACTTTGTCTCTCAATGGGACGTCCGCAAGAATAACACCAAATGCATCGAACAAAAATTCACCTTCAATCTCACCGATATCAAACGATATTATCTTTAGTACTCTCCACGCTAGAGGCCCAAGTTTTTAGAGGACCTTCGGATGGTAGTTGGAGGAAGCTGCAAATAAACTCACACTGGTAGGCATACCTCTAACATACAATAACTGTACGACACCTTCACAGACGCATTTAGCGAAGAATTCCTTAGACAAAAAAAACCCGAACAGGCGTACAACATCGTGCTGCAGCAACCAGAAGCAATTTTTTGTCAGCTCGTTACAAACTGCAAAGCTTTTCATCGGCCTTAGCCAGTTGTTATGAGGGCACAAATCACAACACACCTCTTCAACATCCAGGAGGAACAGGCTAGCCAAAGAACAGCTTGGATATGTAGGCCTAGTTGAGGAGCAGAAAGTCATTACATATGAGATAGTCCAATCAGTTCGAAATAAAATTCAAGCTTCATATTTCATTATAGGCTTTGAAGGAATTGGAAAAACCTTCAATAAGTAACCTTCAGTATGTTCGCTATGTAACCTCGTCTTTATAACGCTAACCCGTATTTTTCACAGACAGGACTAAATCTTTTGGCAACTTGCGTGTAAAGGAATAGCTTCACAGCGAAAACCTTCAAACTTCAGTACCTCATCTCAGGGTCTAACGTCTCATCGATGCACACTCACACCGAGAACGTGACACAGCTTCACAGACAATGAAAAGTCTAAACTTAAAACACATGAGCAAATGACGACCCTATTTCAACTAAATGGTTTCTTAATCCTACAAACTTTAATTTCAATATTTTATTAGAATCAGTATCCCAACTTATCCATCTCCATTACACAACATTTCCACTGTGACAAAAAATTCCTTATTTCAAACGTAAAGTTTCCAACGACAGGAATTAAACCCCCAATATCAACTAATTTTATTCAAGAGCCATATTGTGCAAAAACATTTACGACTTTACAACAATGAATGCTTAATATTATTGATACTGGTAAATAAAATATTTGTAAGAGCAGGCATGAAACATTTGTTCGGTAAAATATCAATTAAAACCTGAAAAATACTCGAAAATTGAATTTTTGTCATTTTGAGCCCGACCCGAAAATTACCCGGACTCGAAGTGATCTTTTCAGTACCCAAACCCGAACCCGCCCGAACTTAATATTTCACTACCCGCAGACCCCTAATGCTTAGCCTATGTTTTGTCCAATTTGTTACCTACAGATTAACAGATTAATCTTCAACCTAAAATATAGAGAGTCTTGTAGATCTGTCTTTCGTACAAATAATATGCTGACCTTCCCATCAATTTTCATTTTTGAATCTTTGACCTTCTTAAGAAAAAATTCGACAATGTTTCATATTAGAGGGTCATCTCACCACAGCTACAATCTCAGGAGGAACTTTAACCTACATATTCCACTATCTCGTACCACTTTCCATAAAAACCAATCATTCTCCATGTGTATCCGTCTTTTTAATTCTCTTCCTAACTCAATCAAGGGCGAACATGATTTAAAAAAATTTAAGCGTGGTCTGAGGGAATATCTAGTTGATAAGGAATTTTACAGTGTTTCTTCGTTTTTAAATTGTAAATAGTTTGTACCTTTTGAAGTTTGTATCTTATTTTAATGGGTCTGATTTTATTTGTTTAGTTTTAGTGACTTTTGCCCTGTACATTTATGTATTATTATGGCAATAAAAAATTCTGATTCTGATTCTGATTCTACAGTAAACGGTTTATCTCAGTTCTGATTTGATTCTTTGCTAAGGGACATAAAAAGCTCTGTTGTATCTCCATTACAATTTGTTTATACTCATTAAGCCCTTCACGTTTGTCACCTCATACACGATGCTAAAAAGAACTCTATTAGCGTATCATGTTGATCTGAAACCTAAACACTAAGCAGGGCCCAAGATTGGTTGTAGCCTATTTTGGGCAACTACACTATCATAGCAAAGCTGGCTGACTAAAAAGCACCGTTTCCAATTTCCATTACTCATTTTGACCCAACAAAGTTGGGAGCTAAGCTCAAGTTGATTTTGGCACACTTTTTCCATTCCAAGCAGTTTGCGCCAATATTATAAATACACTATACTACACAAAAAGAGAGGAGCGCACCCGCACCTACCAGCTCTCGCAGGAGATCTGGGAACAAAAGACATGGATACAATGGACATTAGACAAGGAGACTGATTCAGCAAGAGCAACCTTGGGTTACTTCCCAAACCGCCGAGGTTTGGAGAGGTGGATTATTACTTCACCCAATTTCTGACAGGACACAGATTTTTCCAGTCTATCACAGTATCACATGAGCAAAGCCAAGACATCTGATTGCATCTACTGCCTAGCACTCCTGAACACACTTTTTTCCGCTGCCCACGTTAGTAAAGGTCCCGCCTAGAGGCTCAACATAATGTTGGACTGCTAGCTGTCAGTGGAAGACACAGTCATGCCAATGATGACAGAAGGTGAGGACAATTAATTGTACCTGTGTGTTACATTTTGTCAAGGGTATTCTCTGTCCCAAGAAGCTTGACTTAACACTGACCAAGATGTAGTCTAGGTCATAGAAGAACTGAATGCCTGAAATGGTGCGAGTCCTAGGGCTTAAATTTCATGTTGGCCTGACTTGAAGAAATATGATATAACAAACGATCCCAGGTCTTTGTCCAACAGAGTAAAGAGGGATATTTAGCAATAAGTCTGATCCATTCAGAAGTCTCAAACCACATACTGACCACCTGTGTGTGTAATAGTATATTTCGTACCTAGGGCCGAAAATGAGGTTTTGCCGGCTCGAGATAGTTTTTAAGTTCGAGACAAACTCGAGAACTTAAAACAATGGAGAGCTGCAAAACCATTTCGGTCCGTGGTACAAACGCTATTTTTCACCACACTATACCCTTTTACCACTGTTCACCTCAATAATAATGCATACTGATAGTCAACACAACTACAACTTTAAGGTTATGAGAAGAAATAATTTGAGGAATCAGCAAAAATAATAAAAAATAGTTGCTAGGCAGCGGTGACAATAAAAGAATTCTATTGCAATGCTATGGATACTGATTGTGTATTTAATATGCATTCATGTTTTAAGAAAGTAAGCGGGCAGCTGATTTTGCAGGGGACATGACCCTAGGGATGTAAAAACCTGCTCGGTCCCCAAATGACATTGACAGCTAGCATGGCCAGCAAAACGTAACTTTCAGCCACCAATTAACGTATGTAAAACAGCTAAAATAATCATAGTGTGGTGAAAAAGCATTTTCTCTCCTCTCCTAAAAACAGGTTATCAAATCAAAATATCTTTGTTTGTCCATGAGCTTTGTACATGATTGGTACTTACATTGAATAGTGTCAATATATTATTGACAATTATGCCAAGGTATTGTTATTCGCTTAGCTTTAGCCGTGTGCTGGGATCTTTCCAGGGGTCTGAAGTTGGTTTTCGGCTTAGGAAAAAGGGTTAAATGGGCCTCAGATAGACATGGCTGTTACACAGGAACTGGCAAAATAAATCTGGCAAAAGATATTAACCAGTTTAAGAACCGCTCTTCAATGTCATTTAAGGCCTGTTCACACCGGCGTTGCCAGACGTCTGCAGACGTACTCGGTGTATTAATACGTCGCAAGTGCACTGTTCACACCGCAGCTACGTAGCCAGTGAGCCGGTGATTGTTCATTTATTTTATTATATTATTTTATATTAGTTTATATTTGTTAATTTATTCTTTATTTTTATTAGTGTTTCATGAATTTCAGTTGAGATTGCCACGGTTTAATTGCAGCTTTTATAGTACACTGAAAAGTCTGTTGATTAATGTGTTAATGTTGACAAAAATATTTCACTCTAATGTTAGGCCGTATATAGTAGACTATAATTTTTGCGCTATATTATAATATAAAAAAATATTACCAGAAAACATGCAATAATTTTGCTTATACATAAGGATTACATAATATAATAGTCTATGGTGTAAGTAAAGTCTAGAAATAATTCAATAATCTTTATATATAAATGCGAAATTCCGATCAACGCACAGGCCAAACCATAGCACCTAGAAGCATGAGATTTTGCATACATATTCCTCTCATAGCTTAGGCAGACAATAAGAAGCGATTTTACAAAATTCCCAATTGGCCCCGCCCCAAAGGAGGCCAAAGTTGGCATGGATTTTGTTTAGGAAGAATAATTAGTTTTGGGTTTTGTTTACATTTGTCTGCAATTTATTTAATCATCAGCTGTTATATTAGAGTTGTGTGTCAGTGAAGTTAACCTAATTCATTGGGATTTTTTAGTTTTATCCACTTCAAATATGTATGATTGTGATTAGTGTTGAAGAAAGTAGAATTGAGCTTAGTTTTTTATTGCATTTTAATTTGTATGATCTTATGATAGCCTACCTATAGTTCTGTTAATAGTTTTGTAGTTTTTTAAACCGTTTCATAGTATGGACACTGAGATTTTAAATGTTAATGACGAGTTCGTTCCACCTTGAGGAGTATGTTTTATCTATGGTTCCACTTAATGTTAATATCATTCACATCAGAGGAGATGGTGCGAGTTTATTTACATCACTCTCATTCATAATTCACCTTACACACACTAACTGTGCTCAAAGCAATTGTTGAACATGTTGTGAGGTTCATGATGGAATGGCCTCTGGTTCGTCGGTTGTGAGGAACTGGGACTACTTCTCAATCTTATCCCACAACAGTAACGGGAATAATTACCTTAATTTCAAATACTTCTATGAAATGTCTAAGCCATTTGCCTTTGGTGGGTTGTGTGAGCTGGTTGCGGCACAACTATTCATATTTGTTTATGAGGTTCCTTTATCGGAAGGGTGAATTATATGTCAAGTTGGGTGATGAACGTAATCCCATGAAAAGACTCAGATTTACACAATCCCTGTCTAGTCTAGCGGGTACTTCGATGTTTTAAAGCCACAAAAAGAGCCCGTTCCTCCCAATTAGCCTATCAGCCGATCCCGGAATCTCAACAAAATACATCAAGGCGTAAATGGCGTAGCAGTTGCACAGACAAACAAAGGAAAAAGCAGGTGAGGAACGCAAGCATAAAATATGAAGAAACTCATCATGAAAGACATTCGACAAAGATTCAATGGATGGTGAAAAATCTATGAGCAATGAGATACAACTGGAAAATAGACTATGAAGGAGATAGCTCGGTGGCGATAGATACCACGACGTTCAAATTTAAGTACTGCGAGGCCTTAAATGGAAAGAAGAAACACCGGGCATTTGCTGCAATGGTGGTAAATGCAAAGCTACTACCTTTATGCAGTCTGGTCATACTTACTTACTTACTTGGATACTTGAAGGCTTCGTCTCTGACCGGGATTCCGGATGGACTGCGTCAAATTTATTTTAAAAAGTAAACTGAGATGGCGGCGAGTTAAAAAAGTGGCACGTCATCTAATTCTTTAAATGTGTAAATAGGCCTATTTTGAAGTTTTTCCTTCACTGAGGTTTTAAACCCAGCCACATCCATACTTCTGACTTCTTCAGGCAGACTATTGTAGAGTTTAATTGCGGTCACTGGGAAGCTATTCAGGGATTTGGACAGTCTGCATTGAGGGGTGTCGAGGTTTCTAGCGTTCCTGGTGTTATGCTGATGTATATCTTGTCTTCTTCCATACTTAGAGATGTTCTGGCGTACGTGTATCAGACAATTGAGGACATATTGTCCATAAACAGTCAGTATGCCGAGACGTTGAAAGATAGGCCTATGAGTAAAATCTTTGCCTGTTATTTCAGTAGAGGTTATCACTCTCAACGCCTCCTTTTGGAGTATCAACAATCTACTGCATGCGGGAGCGTGACCCCAAATGAGTATACCATACAAGATATGGCTGTGGAACAGCGAGAAATAGACAGTAACAAGGTACTGCTCAGTGACCACATGACTTAGCTTTCTGAGGAGGAAGATCACTCGAGATAATTTGGTGCAAATCTGGGCTATATGGTGATCCCAGTTTAATTTCTGGTCAAGCCAGAAACCAAGCAACTTTACTGGTTGATTCTCTTCAGCAGCAATTTGTCTCCCAAGAGTGCAGATCAGGAGTTGGGTCTTGTCCTCGTTTAATTTTAACTTATTTGAAGCGAACCACTCCATTGTTGTCTCCAGCAATGTACTTGCTTCCCTCTTAACCCGTTCAATACATCTACCTTCCGTCACCAATGTTGTGTCATCAGCAAATAGTAATGCCAACTTAGGCATTGACTTCCAATTCTTCAGCGACATCTAGAGAATTCACAGCTGCTACACTAACTTCATCATTGTTCGCAACACTAGCATGAACATGGGCAACCACCCTGAGCATACACACTTTATGGACTGGGTGAGACATTATAATAGCTGCTTTAATATGACATGGTTTGGAGCAAAGCAGGTTGTAGCTGAATTGTACACAGAAGGTTGTTGGCACTTAAACACTAATCTATTTTTAATTTCAACCAATTTGAAAGTTTCCGTAGCGAAGCACGGGTATTTCCACTAGTGTTTCATAAATTTAAGCCCATTATATGAACCATAATAAACCATATTAAGAGAGACATTGTTTTTGATAAGGGGATTTGCAAGCATAAACAAAAAAATTTTGGGGACATTAAGTACACGTATGATGAAGTATTATTATATTGATCATATAAAGTTGTCTTAAGATTGTTATGTTATAGTCTAATTTTAATGTGATAGATTAATGCGATTTAATGATTTTTTAAGTCATAGTGAATTTTTATGTTATAGTCCAACATTACCACTTATAAATTAATTATGAGGTGGAGGGAGGGTGGCGGTGACAGCCCCGTGTGCTAATGCGCATGCGCATATTCGGCTATACGAGCTACGCGTAGCTAGCCGGCGTAGCGGCAGCGCCGTAGCTGCCATAGCTCACGTATTAATACGCCCTTGTGAACACTCTCTATGAATTACATTAAGAGCTATGTCAGCTACGTATTTCGAAAAAGTAATTATACGTCTGGCTACGCCGGTGTGAACAGTCCTTTAGGGGATGCTTGGGCTTCTCTGGCAGGATAGCGGAACAGCTTGGATTCCTCTAGCAGGAAAGCAGACTGCTCGGATTTCTCTAGCAGAAGAGCAGACTGCTAGGATTTCTCTAGCAGGCCAGCCAAATGCCCGGATTTCTATAGCAGGAAGGGGGCCAGCTCGGATTTCTCTAGTAAGAAAGCATTTGGATTTGGTTTTCTCTGCAACTCGTTATACAGGCTGCACTGTACTCATGTGTCTCCACTGCACTCTTGATTTCCCACTGTACAGCTGTCGGAGAAAATTTGTGGTGAGAGACCTCACAGTATTATTAATATATGCCTTTGGTTAAAATTTCCAAATATTTAGAAATAAAGGTACTGTAAATACATATCTTGATTGATTGTTTTTTTATCATAGGTCATGAAGTTCCACCAAAATCTTCTAAGTTGAAGTTCCCTCAAGACCCAAACTTGTATGATATGTCTGGCCAAGTCGCTCACAAGCTATCCTTTATAAAAAGTTTTGCTCCAGCTAACAGGAAATTGATCCTTATTGGACATTCTCTTGGAGCAAAGATAGTCTCAGAGCTGCTTAAAGATGAACAAGTAGCAAAGAATGTAAAGAAGTGCTTCTTGCTTATGCCTACGTTAGAAAGAATTGCTCAAACACCCAATGGAAAGTTCCTTAGTCGGCTTTTGGCCTACTTCATGTCTGTGATTCTATTCTTAGCTTGGGTAAGTAGATATGATTGACAAAAATTTCATAACTCTTTAAGAATCTGATGAATTTTGTTTTAATTCTAGTCATGCCTATTATTAGTTGTAGGGATGGTCAAGTCTCCTAATTACGGGAAATTTTTAATCTCGTTATACGAGACGAGATTTATTTTTGATTGAGATTTTTTCGAGACGAGAATAAAATTTTTTTTAAATAAAATAAAAAACGCCTGCAGAAAGTTAATGCAATACTCGCAATACAGGAGCGCTTTGTAGTTGCGTTTCCTTTTCGAAGGCGTTCTAATTTAATTAATTCTTTACATGTAAATATTACTTTAATTATTTTATCATTTGAGAAGTTTTGTAAACAAACAAAGCCAAAACAAGTAACTATTTTATACAAATTAATATTGCTTTTATTTTATGATTTATTTTATTTTAGGATAAGTTTAACTCTATCCTAACTGATATCACCAATAAGTTAGGTGTAATAAATATAAATTTTTTATGGTGATGTTTTGTTAATAAAAGATTTTAAATATTTGTCCTATTATTATTATTTTTGTATCCAAACAGTCATCTTAGAGAATCAGGTAATAATGTCGAACGTACATTTCCCGTTGTGTATGAAAAGGGAAATCCCGTCTCGATCTCGTCTCAAAATTTTATGAGAACTAAAAATCTTGTCTCGTGTTGAACTAAAAGTCCAATCTCGTCCATCCCTAATTAGTTGATACATTGCTTGATTTATAACTGTTTTTCTTTGTCACAGCTAATTTTAGAGAACGTCTGGGCGTAGAAACTTGGTAGGGTTGTCTAAAGAAAGGTCTTGGTCTGTAGATGAGCCATCAAAAGAGAAACGAGGTAAATTTACTTGGTCTTTAAAGTTCCCTCCCCAGATTTGTTTACGACCATATGGATAGTTTTAGACTACTTTTTAATGAAACAGCTGATAAGATTTAATAAGAATTTACTGAATATGTCAAAATAATATGTTTACATAGTTGGAAACGGAAACGTAATAATTTGCATTATTACGATATTTTTTTATTGTGTAGGTTACTAAGCTGTTGTGCAGTTATACAGTTTTTATTTAATTTACCCCGTTAGGACTTATTTCTCTATCTAGACCAATAACAAAGAGTTTAACAAGGCTTGATGATGAATACTCCCAACGAGAAAGACAAGAAAATGTTTTAAGGTAATTTAGGCTAATCATGCGATTTTGACAAACTTTTGGACTCTTCAGCTAAGTTAGGCGGTCCTAGGCACTCTTTTCCTCTGGCACTATTGGGGCAAACGCCATTTTGACCCAAAATTTGTTTTAAGGTTGTCAAACACATTAACGGGATGGACAAAATACTAGTTTGTTTTTTTTTACTTTATGTTCATTTCAGTAGGTTATGTGGGTATTTTAACATAAGTGTTACACTGAAAATAACAGCTAACCGAATTGAACCCAACCTAACCTGAAATATTCTAACATAACCAAACTTCTATTACGTTGGCAAGTTCCTTTGATGTCTTAAAAACCATGTAGATGGTTTCGTTCTTTATGCAATTTCGTGACTGCATTAAGTCCTTTGAAACTAGGTTGGATTAGGTAAAACCAATCTCCCAAATCTAAACTAACTTCAAAACCCTTAATTTAACCCAAATTCGCATATTGATCAATCTATTTTACTCACATTCGTAAATATGGCAAACGGGAATCTCAGGATGAAAACCACATTTCCCCCAAAAGTGCCTAGAATCATTGCCTAATTTAGCTAAAGAATACAGAATGTTGTAAACATTAGCTTAAGTTTGTTATCAGCTAGGCTCTGATTAAACCATGTCCAAACAAACTTGTGGTATTTGTAATCTGATTGTTAAATACCAAGCTATTTGCTGCACTGGTCCCTGCAAAAGTGGCATCATTCCCGATGCTTGAATGAGGCCAGAAAATAAATTCAAGAAGCTTACCATGCATGAAATTGCATCCTGGTTGTATTATAAATGCAAATATGACGTTGAAACTACTAAAACTTAATGATATTGAGGATATAGAAACCAAAATACTTGGTCTCTCTAGAAAAATGAAAACTTAGACCATGAAACATCTTTAAGCCTGGCCTCAGAGGTCGGGAATGCACTACTAAACGAAAATAAATTATTAAAAAAAGAACTACATCAGGGAAAAAGACTAAAAAAACTGAGTGCTACGTAGAGCTGGAAGACAAAATTTAAGCTTCAGAAGAAGTTATAGCAGAACTTAAAGATGAGAATATCAACAATTATTAAATCTTATCAGCTGTTTCATTAAAAAGTAGTCTAAAATTATCCATATGGTCGTAAACAAATCTGGGGAGGGAACTTTAAAGACCTTTGGGGCAGAACCCCAAGTAAATTTAAATTGTTTTTTTTTTTATGGCTCATCTATAGACCAAGACCTTTCTTTAGATACCCCTACCAAGTTTCTACGCCCAGCCGCTCTCTAAAATTAGCTGTGACAAAGAAAAACTGTTTCAAATTAATATATAGATTTATTTTTCTGTATTATAGCCCGGTGGGAGCTACAATTTTTACATATTTTCACAGGTATTTTCTCATTTCTCACACAAGTGCAGAGTGTTCCTTATTAGTGGATGGTTTTACCTGACTCGTCAACACAATGTAGACAGCCATTGTATGGATGCTGTTTGTATTCTGACTCTACCCTCTGTTCTGCGACGTGTCTTCAATCTGGCCTTAGACGAAATGGAGAAGATTTTGGAATTGGATATTGAGGTAAAAACACATAATTGTTAAGTTTATTTTATCACCACCTAGAGGCTAAATCAGTGAAATGAGTGTGTGCTATGTTGAATAACCCACATCACCGGGCCAACAATTATAGAATGGTAGGCCAGTTGCGCCTGAAGGCCGGACGAGGCGTGTGGGTGCGTTCCGCATGTGTTTGCTAAAAATATCATGTCCAGAGCTAAACAAAACCAGGTGGACTTTATTGCTATATTTAAAGAATCGTCGTGTTTTTGGTTGACAACATCAAAAGATTACGATGACCTCAAAAGGGAACGGCTTACAAAAAATTACTAGAAAAATTGTTTTGATAATTGATAATTTTTGATAATATTTTGTTTTGATAATTGACTGCCTCAGATCATTCAATAATTTTACATATGAATAAACTTGCCTTTTCTGTAACCAATCTTAAGTCCATAACTTTCATCTCTCTTTATTTTCACTACAGTTTATAGCTAACAACAAACCAACAACAGCAAGAGTTTTCATCATCCGTTGATGCCATGTTGCACAAACAAACAGAAGCACCTCAATGCTTGCCTTCGTATATTCCGGAGCATGTGGAGACCCCCCTATTTCTTGGTTTGCCTTAAGGCCGGCCTTCTAATATACCGAAGCGTGTGGAGTCTGCTTATGAGCTGATCTCATTACTATTCTAACTGCCTTTTTCTGAAGTAACAAAACATCACTTATATTACTACTGTTTCGCCATAGAATCAGTCTATAGCTTAACACTGACTGAAATAATGCAAAATAGGGTACACGGATATAATAACGGTTTTTAACCTATTCACTTAATAAATAACTCTTGACAGTTTTGAAAAGACAAAATCTATATGAGCTGACCAAGAAAGGCTGCTGTCAGTCGACACACAGAGGATTTTTATTGGCCTGTCCTCTTTACAATTTATATCTGAGCTTAAATCTTTGTTTTTTGTATGGCAAACTAGGTATCCATAGAGTATCTTTTATCCACATTAAGAAGTAGATTTAAAACCCAAACCAATCACCAGCTTGTAATTGTCTCATTCTCTGTTCTACAGCTAAGTTTAATCGATTATAATCTGTGTGGACAGTTAAGAATGTTGTATCATCTGCAAACATTGTGGTTTGGGAACTCTCAATACTAAGTGGCAAATCATTGACAGAAATCAAATGAGAAGCGGGCCAAGGACTGAGCCTTTTGGATCCCCGGTTTTAACTTCAATGCATCTGGAATGCACACCCTTTGCAAGGGCGGTCCTAGACATATATTTTTGGGGGGGGGGCCTGGGGGGTATTTCATACCCCAGCAAAGGGGAAAAATTTGGAAATAACGTGCTAAAACGAGTGGTTTTGAAGCTATTTTGAGGGCCTAGTTTAATGTGTTCAAGCTTCCCAGTTTATTTAAAGGTCAAAGAACTAAACCTGTATAATGTCATGTTTTTGCATTCTTGAGACTTGGGGTTTTAATATCAAAGGAATACCGCAACATTACAACACATTCAAGCATTATTGATTTACGAAAACACCCTTTCAACTCATGGTGGATGTATTTTCCTTCCACCATGCTTTCAACTGGTGCCAATGTGCATGCTAAACGGAAAATGTCCAAAATCAGACCAAGATTTCGAACCAGAGAACTCATTTTATCTAAGAAGTGTTTAAGAACTTGGACCCAAAACGACTGCATTATACCTGCCCAGTAAGCAACAGTTAACCTACACAAAGTACACTACCCAACTAACGTTGCCGTCGGCGTCCCGTCACTGCTACCGCCTGGAGAATTGGTTCTCAGTGTTCTCATTTTTTCTACGCCAGTGCCAGTGACATTTTACAAGGGGTCAACGTGAGAATAAAGTTTTTGTGCAACGATTTCGTGGTTGTGCTGGGAATTAAATCTGTCCCTTCCACATCTATGTCTGAGACACTACCATTTTGTTGTTGTTTTATAGCTAGCAACATGTCAATTGGGTTGTGGTATTCTTAAATATGATATCAGGTGCTCTAAATATGAATACTATTTAATATTGAAAGTTTTGAAATTTGCTACGGTAATCATTGAATTACATTACTGTAATTACAAATTCCTAACGCTCAACTCAGATAAATTAATATTCAACTACCTTTCAAGCTTTGACTATTGATACAACTTCTTTTCTTTATCCAATACCCAAACCTAATTCAAGTTTTCAATCACCTAGGTTCAAATGAATGATAACATTAAATGCCGAAAAATTAAATAAGAAGAAGAATGCGGCCGAACGTCGAATGTCAGCATCGGACACTGCCGTTGCTGTATATGGCTGAAGGTGTCCGTCGTCTGCCGATCTTCCCTACTTTTCATAACGTACAAAAAAAAAACAGTCAGACTCGAACGTTGAGTTTTAGGTTAGAGTTTGTAATTAGTCATTTCATTCGCCACAAGTGTAAAGACTTCAATGAATTTCAATTTGACAGAACGATTTGCAATACAAATTATTAAAGTTCCCCTGGTATAATAGTTTATATATATAAAAAATATTTTGGGGGGGTCATGACCCCCCTGACCCCCCCCCCCTGGGACGCCCTTGACCCTTTGCATCAACAAACTGTGATCAACCACTTAAATAAGAATAAGAAATTAATTGGGGAGGACAACAATGGATGCCATAGTGCTCCAATTTAGCCAGCAAGAAAGTATTCTATCAACACCATCAAAAGCATTTGCTTAGATCACACACAGTCACCTGAGCTTAACTTCTTCCCTCAAAAGCTTCCAAAACTCTCGAAACAAAGCAATCAATGGCATCCGTAATTGACCTTCCACTCAGAAACCAAACTGACATGCAGAAAAAGGTTGAATCTATCAAAGTGTGCTCATACCTAGTGCTTTACAACCTGTTCAATTAATTTACCTACAATAGGCACCAATGACACTGGATAGTTATTGAAATCCCTTTTGCCACCTTTTTTGTGAATAGGAACTACTCGTTCCAATGGTTTACAGTTTGCCTTCATACTTTTTATAGTGGATATAGTAGGACGTTTATCTTATCTTATCTTACTAATTATAATATTATAAATCTGAAAGTTTGTGTGTGTGTGTGTGTGTGTGTGTGTTGCTCAAATCACGCATAAATTACTGGATGGATTGGGCTGAAATTTGGCATGATGATAGTTCACATTCCCGATTAACATTTAGGCATATTCTTATTTCAAAAATCCAATACATGGTCTTCGTGGCAGCTGGGAGTTTGTTGAAGAAACGGATGGCGCTTCTGGGTTATGAGTCTCGATTTATTCTGAGGCATATGCAAGCAACGTACATCAAGTTGATTGCGGCCTGTTGTATTATAGTTGTGTAAACTGTGTTATTTATTCAGTAAAGTTTTACTTATGTAAATTTTATTTAATTACAGAACTGTATTTGATTTCAGGTTCTCAATTCCAATTGGCGCAAAATGCATGTTTACTTTGCCCGGAAAGATGGATGGGCACCACTTTCGTACATGGACTCTTTAAAACAAGCATTCCCAGATATTAATGCCAAAGTTTTAGGGGAGCAGTTTCGCCATGTGTTTGTTTTGGACAATCCAGAAGAGATGGCAGACTTGTTGGCATCACAGATGAAAACGGACATAAAGTCTTCTTAGGTTATGTATTTACATGCAGGTTTGTTGGTCAAGAGAGAGGAATATTAAATATAACTCCATAAGGTGTTTTGTCTCAAAATAGATGGCATAAGGTGTTGTCTTTCTTTTAGGTCAGAAAGTTCTTCTATTAGATTAATAATATAATTGATTTTAAGATCAGAAGTTTCTAACCGATAACTAAGGGGGATACAGGGAATATATTTAAGACACAAAATTTGGGTAGTTGTGAGGTTGTAGTTTCGTCTGCACAATGTAGCCATCCTGTAATGACATTCTCCTCTCCCCTCTCTCTCTTTGTCATATATTACTGCTCTGCTCTGTTGTGCATCACGGCATAACTTAACAGTCAACAATTGAAAGACAACTAGGGCTTTTGCCTCGTCATGAAATGTTGAATCTTCCTTCTTTGTCAGTGTTACATCCAAAGTGCAATTAAATTTCTTACTAATAGCTCAACTGAATCGTCACATTCCAGAAAAAACCTTTGTACATACACATGTATTAGTCAGATAGCAAAGATAAACCATTCCAATCTATTTCTGTACTTCAAATCTTATTTTAAATTTATTATAGTTTTTAACTTTAGATTTATTTGGTCCTTTGATGACTAATTGTTGGATAGCTAATTTGCAAACTCTGAGCTTAGTACGTTTTACTGAAGCCATGAATGGTAGATGTTTGTTTTTTATCAAAGAGTGATTTTATCCTCTTAAGCTCATGACACACTTTGTGAAATTGTAATTTGATTATTTAACCAAATACATAAGCAAGTCATTTGAAATGCTGCGGTTCGTCCAGCTTGAAATAAATTGTTTAGCTTTCCTCCTAATTATAAAATACTACAGCAAACAAATATGAAAAAAATAAAAGGTAAATTTTTTTATATAATTTTTTTATCATAGACAACTAGGAAACAGCTCCTACCACAAATATTACAACATAATGCCACACATATTAATATATATATATATTAATATACAGGGTGTCTAGTAGTCGGGAAAATCGGGAAAGTCGGGAATTAGTATTGAATTTCAAAATGGTCTTGAAAAGTCGGGATTTAGTCTTAAATTTGATTTCAAAGTCGGGAATTTTCATGATTTTGCCGCGATCGTCGTCTTGCGTTTACGTAACCGCAAAAGCCAATGATTATGTCTACACGGCCTCGGGAAATGTTCACGATTTTGCCGCGATAGTGGACGACGACGATGACGTTTCCGAAACCACGAGACACGACGATGACGTTTCTGTGACAGCGGGAGACTACGATGACGTTTCCGTGACCGCGGGAGACGACGATGACGTTTCCGTGACCGCGGGAGACGACAATGATGCCTACACGGCAGCGGGAAAGGTTCATGATTTTGCCGTGATCGCGGACGACGACGATAACGTTTCCGTGACCGCGGGAGATGACGGTGATGTCTAAACAGCCGTGGGAAATGTTCATGATTTTGCCGCGATCGCGGACGACGACGATGGCGTTTCCGTGACTGCGGGAGACGACGATGACGTTTCCGTGACCGCGGGAGACGACGATGATGTCTACACGGCCGCGGGAAATGTCCTTGATTTTGCCGCGATCGCGGACGATGACGATTACGTTTCCGTGACCGCGGGAGATTACAACGACGTTTCCGTGACCGCGGGAGACGACGATGATTTCTGCTCGGCCGCGGGAAATGTTCATGATTTTGCCGCGATTGAGGGAGATGACGATGACGTTTCCGTGACCGCAGGAGACGATGATGACGTTTCCGTGACCACGGGAGACGACGATGATATCTGCTCGGCCACAAGAAATGTTCATGATTTTGTCGCGATCGCGGACGACGACGATGACGTTTCCGTGACCGCAGGAGATGACGATGACGTTTCCGTGACCGCGGGAGATGACGATGATGTCTACACGGCCGCGGGAAATGTTCATGATTCTGCCGCGATTGCGGACGATGACGATGACGTATCTGAGTCCTCGGGAGACGACGATGATGTCATTGATGTCTACAAGGCCGCGGGAAATGTTCATGATTTTGCCGTTATCGCGGACGACGACGATCACGTTTCTGTAACCGCTGCAGTCAATGATGATATTAATGATGATGATGTGTACGGTACGTGGAAGATTTCATGATAGAATAAACCAAATTTGCTAGTTAGATTTTTTTATTGCTGTATTATTTCTTTACTTGAAAACACCACATTATCATAATACTACTTTATGAGGTTGGTGTAGTATTATTCAGAAAATTTGGTTAAGCTATAAAAATTGGTATTGGTATCAAGAATCGAGAATCGATACATTTTGGTATCAACACCCACTAATTGTTGAAAAAACTAGTCTTGAAAAATCTGGAATTAGTCTTGAAAAGTCTGGAATTAGTCTTGAATTTTATAATGGAAATAAACTAGACACCCTGAATATAGTTTTAGTTTATATTCTTTATGTTAACTGTGATCATATTATTTGTAAGGTGATTTAATACTTTTATTGGTTGGGTATTTGTGTTAATTTATAAACATTTTATACGGATTCATGTAATACAGCATGTTTTACATTATATAATTTTATCATATTCTCAACTAATTCACACTCAATGATTATTGTAAAGACAACCATTATAAATTATTATGAACTTGTAACTTATTGTATTGACGTGAACAAAAAACTTACTGTACTCAAAGAAATGTTTTTTAATGATATGTGAGTCAGCAGGGGCGGCTCCAGAGGCCAGGGCAAATAAATAAGGACATTTAATTACATGTAATAAAGGGAAAGCATTAAAACTCATTATTTTGCAATTAATTTTTTAAATTCCCCCCTCTTTGCAGGGAAGCCCCTCAAACCTCTTATCAAACTCCTTATTGATCCTTGTCAGGCATAGCCAAAAATTATTCCTAGAGCCGCCCCTGTGAGTGAGCTTGTTTATGATAAGAGGGATAGTTCTCCTCTGTTAAGGATCTATACTAGTTTCTGGATATGGAAGAGGCAACTACAGCTTAAAGGATGGTTTTGAATTCGTAATTTTACAGCAAATAGCCAATGATGACTTAACATTGAAGTGTTTTATATATTTTAAAAAAAAGAAACTAATAAACAAGTTTTGAAATTTAAAAAAGTTTACGTGTTTGTATGATTTGTCATGTTGTTTATATACTTTTATGTTATCAAATTGTAAATCCTCTAAAAACATTCCAATTAAAGTTTCTATTGAGTTTTGTTATAATGTGTTATCAATTTGTAAGGATCCTACTTCAAGTTAGTCTATGCAGTGCTCGATTTGTAAAAAAATGAGGTGCTGGAACTGTAACCCATATGTGATTAATACCTATTTATGTTAGTATATTTATCTTTCCAAAAGAGAGGTACTGGAATGCGCTTCCGCCCCAAATTGAGCACTGAATCTATGTAATGATACCTATTGTAGCTGACGACTTAATAGCTATAGGTACATAGCCAGTTTTCCACTTGACTTTTTAACTACTAGGCTACTGGCAAATTTTTACCAACCAGGAAATTATCGTCTCTTCCCTGGTCAGCATTGATTTTACTCCTTTACCATTTATGTATGGACACAGTTTTGTTGCAACACACAGTAGTTAGTAGTCCGTGGTAATACGTATCAAATCCACACAATTTCCTCCTGCTCAGTCATAGTTAGCTTCCAAGGACATTGGCCAAGTAATAGGCCTACTACTATTATATTATATATATTATATATGCTATTATATGTTATAGCATACTAATAAAAAACTAGTGTACATGTTGCTCGAATTCGAGCAATTGCAAAGTATTACAGGAGTTATTTTAAAACGAATAACTGTCATATTTACCATTAATTTAAAAGAGTCAACTCAAGATTACCGGTGTGTAGCTCAGACCATTTTTATCTTCGTTATTGATAAACCTAAAGCATTCCTGCCGGTTTTCTCCTTCTCAAAATGCCTCGCTGTACAGGCAACACAGGTCATTGATAGAGGGCCAATTGAGAACGAAAAGTCGTTTTGGGGTAGTGTTAGGGCGCATTTGTAACCTAATAGTTGAGATTGTCCAGGGTCAGGTGCTGACTGTGATGAGTTAAGCCTATTACGCGCCACGGTTCTGTAGCTGCGGTCGTTATCACGATTACGCCTCCTGTCTATGTTTCGTTGTCGTCACGTCGGAGGCATTTAAAAGAAAAAAAAACAACAAATAAACAAATTATAGCTACACAAAACAACGATAAATGCATAAATTCAAGTTACAATCATACTAACACGATCCTTCATAGCGACACAAAACAACGATAAATACACAACTTTAAGATACAACCATACTAACACGATCCGTCTTGGGGGTTATGTTTACATAAACTCAAATAGTAAATAAATGTACTCAATGCGTTTCATTTGAATTGAAAAATAACAGCAATTAAATTATACAGCTGATCAAAATGTAAACAATTATGTTCTCCATAAGGATTACATGGGAACTTTTAAAGCCACTGGGGCAGAGCCCAAGGGACTTTTTCAAAAATGTAAGGTTAGTTTGCAAATCTACGCGACACGCTCTTTCCAATGAGACATCAATGGATAAAATCTGTTAAGAAATGGCGGAGGAGTTCAACCGACAAAGTTTCATGTAGCGTATTAATTATATAGATAATCTCACTTAAGCAAAATTCTATTTACCTGATTGGATTTTTACTAAAATATTCCCTTAAAATTGTCAGCTTTGTTTTATTTTTAACCGACTTCCCCACTACCAACAAAAAAGGAGGAGGTTCTCAATTTGTCTGTGGCGATGTTTTTTTTTTTCTATGTATGTTCACCAATTTCTCTGTGATTCTTTTACCGATCAGTGTGGTTCCACCACCAAAATAACCAGGAGAGTTTCTATTTGGTACCTTATATATTATGTTTAAGTATAATATTAGTTTCGGTGAAAAATTCTGAAAACCTTAAATATTCAACATTTATTTTGTTTACATTTGTGCAGATTGTTTACATTTGTGCAGAGAAGGCAATAGATAATAATAACATTCCTACAGCTGTTAGTTGAAACCATTTAAATGAAGCTACAGACAATTCTTCATGAAACAGTTGCTTCATATTGATCAATAAACTATTTCTTGCCATGGAGCCTAAATTAATTACATTGAGAAAAATGCTTTTTGTTTTGGTTACTGATGTATTAAGTCTGTTCTTCTAGTCATATGATTTATTTGTGTTTAAATATCTTTTGTTGACAGATGATTTTTGTAAACATGTTTTGTAAACATTGGTTTAGTTTTGAAATAGAGTTTGTTGAAACAAGATGTGTGTTTAATATTCTTGGATTAGAAATAGAACGGTTACTATAGAAAATGTATTTTAACGTTTGACCTGATTTGTGTATACAGTAATTCTGTTTTTAGTATTGAATATTCTGACTTACAAAAACATATATGTTTCAGTGAATAGCTGTATGATATCGACAAATAAAGGTGTATTGTGAAAACCAAAGCATTTGTAAAACAGGTCTAAATATAAATTAAATGCAATTATTCCTTACACGACCTAAGAAGTGTGACAGTGCATAATCGTCAATTGTCTTAAAAGTGTTAAATATTTTAATTACTAAACATGCATTTGCAGATGTGGAATGTTTATTAATATTCTCTACCCAGTTACTATTATCATATCAGTACTATTATGCCTGCTTCGGAAAGTCCTAGGGGAAGATGATTTGCAATTTCGACTAGGCTATATCTTGATCAAACCCCCTACATGACTTACACCACTTTTAGCTGAACCAATCTTTCATATAATATTTTCCAAAGGTACTATACGTGTTAACGACCAATTTTCCACTTTTGAGAGATTGTTTAGTGCTGGTAGCTGAGGAATAACTTTCATATTGTTCCAAAAGGCTTGAGACGTTACTGTATTTCTTTTTATAATGTAGAAGTACACCGATTGCAGGAAACGATGATGTCTGACATTTCAATGTATCTAGAAAAGACAATTAGTTTTTCATCAGGCCTAATGTAATGGACAACTCTTTCTTTCTTAAGGAATATCTAAAAATGTTTATTTTCATTGCAGGAAACGATGATGTCTGACATTTCAATGTATCTAGAAAAGACAATTAGTTTTTCATCAGGCCTAATGTAATGGACAACTCTTTCTTTCTTAAGGAATATCTAAAAATGTTTATTTTCATAACCAATGATTATGTAACCTCAACAGGTGACTCAAGCAGTTTTAAAATAATTATTGTTCTGTGGAACTTTTGATTGTTTCAAACAGTTTTGCTTATCAAAAAACCTCAAGTGATTGATATATAAAAAATTATACAGTCACTAAAAATCATGAAATAATTTCTTTTTGTAAAAAAATACAACCGACTTCAAACGCTCTAAAAAGAATGAAATAATTTCAATAAAGTAAACTTTTGTATTATGCAAGCTCACGTATTTCAAGTCGGCGCGGCTCAAACTGCAAATATGATTGAAATTAAATATTGTGTGTGTATTTTGAAAATCAATAAATTGTAGCTGGATAACATAAATATATAAAAAACATACTGAACTGTTTTGTTTTATATTAAAGGAAATATTTTCTTGTATTTTATGTTTACTTCAGAATAAATGCATTATGAAAATAACACACACAAATGTTCTATATGAATAGGAAAATAATTTAGTTTGATATTATGATAGGGAAAAGAAGCTAGTTTAGTATTAAAACGTTACTTTTCAAAGTTAGAAACATTTAAATGCATTATAATCTTTTTAAAGATACTCGTTAATACCACTATAATGCCGATCTCTGATTACGGTAATAAAATAACACTTAACGCATAACTATGAAAAACACATGCAGATTAACACCTTTAGTTATAGATAGTCACCTGCAATATGGACACCCTCTTTCAATTTTGTATCAAAAATCATCATAGAGCCGTGCCGACTTAAAATATGTGAGCTTGCCTAATACAAAAGTTTACTTTATTGAAATTATTTCATTCTTTTTAGAGCGTTTGAAGTCGGTTGTATTTTTTTACAAAAAGAAATTATTAGTATTGAATATTCTGACTTACAAAAACATATATGTTTCAGTGAATAGCTGTATGATATCGACAAATAAAGGTGTATTGTGAAAACCAAAGCATTTGTAAAACAGGTCTAAATATAAATTAAATGCAATTATTCCTTACACGACCTAAGAAGTGTGACAGTGCATAATCGTCAATTGTCTTAAAAGTGTTAAATATTTTAATTACTAAACATGCATTTGCAGATGTGGAATGTTTATTAATATTCTCTACCCAGTTACTATTATCATATCAGTACTATTATGCCTGCTTCGGAAAGTCCTAGGGGAAGATGATTTGCAATTTCGACTAGGCTATATCTTGATCAAACAAAACCCCCTACATGACTTACACCACTTTTAGCTGAACCAATCCTTCATATAATATTTTCCAAAGGTACTATACGTGTTAACGACCAATTTTCCACTTTTGAGAGATTGTTTAGTGCTGGTAGCTGAGGAATAACTTTCATATTGTTCCAAAAGGCTTGAGACGTTACTGTATTTCTTTTTATAATGTAGAAGTACACCGATTGCAGGAAACGATGATGTCTGACATTTCAATGTATCTAGAAAAGACAATTAGTTTTTCATCAGGCCTAATGTAATGGACAACTCTTTCTTTCTTAAGGAATATCTAAAAATGTTTATTTTCATTGCAGGAAACGATGATGTCTGACATTTCAATGTATCTAGAAAAGACAATTAGTTTTTCATCAGGCCTAATGTAATGGACAACTCTTTCTTTCTTAAGGAATATCTAAAAATGTTTATTTTCATAACCAATGATTATGTAACCTCAACAGGTGACTCAAGCAGTTTTAAAATAATTATTGTTCTGTGGAACTTTTGATTGTTTCAAACAGTTTTGCTTATCAAAAAACCTCAAGTGATTGATATATAAAAAATTATACAGTCACTAAAAATCATTAAATAATTTCTTTTTGTAAAAAAATGCAACCGACTTCAAACGCTCTAAAAAGAATGAAATAATTTCAATAAAGTAAACTTTTGTATTAGGCAAGCTCACGTATTTCAAGTCGGCGCGGCTCAAACTGCAAATATGATTGAAATTAAATATTGTGTGTGTATTTTGAAAATCAATAAATTGTAGCTGGATAACATAAATATATAAAAAACATACTGAACTGTTTTGTTTTATATTAAAGGAAATATTTTCTTGTATTTTATGTTTACTTCAGAATAAATGCATTATGAAAATAACACACACAAATGTTCTATATGAATAGGAAAATAATTTAGTTTGATATTATGATAGGGAAAAGAAGCTAGTTTAGTATTAAAACGTTACTTTTCAAAGTTAGAAACATTTAAATGCATTATAATCTTTTTAAAGATACTCGTTAATACCACTATAATGCCGATCTCTGATTACGGTAATAAAATAACACTTAACGCATAACTATGAAAAACACATGCAGATTAACACCTTTAGTTATAGATAGTCACCTGCAATATGGACACCCTCTTTCAATTTTGTATCAAAAATCATCATAGAGCCGCGCCGACTTAAAATATGTGAGCTTGCCTAATACAAAAGTTTACTTTATTGAAATTATTTCATTCTTTTTAGAGCGTTTGAAGTCGGTTGTATTTTTTTACAAAAAGAAATTATTAAATACTGTAATATAAATTTTGAAAAGTGCTTAGGTTTGCTGTTACAAAGAATGTAGACAATAGACAATACATCGTTATTTACACATTCATTAGGAATAGTAGTATAGTGTCAATTTACTATTTTTTCTAAATGTGTGATTTAGGTGTTGTTTAGTCAAAGATCTGTTGATGGTATTCTTTTAAGGAGTATAAAGGTTGATTAATGAGCCATTGATGCAAAGCTCTGGTTTGAAGTCATCTTCTGTCTTGCTTCTTAGATCTGGAGGTAGCCTGTTGTAGATTGTCATTCCTGCGTATGAAGGCTTCTGTAACTTCTTTTCAAACTGTGCTGTGCAATGTTGTGGAAAGTTGTACTACATGGTGTTTCTCAGGTTGTGTTGGTGCATTTCGCCACGCCTTGTAAGCTTATTTCTTACCGCAAATAACACAACTTCCTGGATGTAGAGTGCTACAAGGGTAAGTACTTTGAGTGACCTGAATGCTTCCCTGCAGCTTCCGAGTCTGTGGAATGGAGTACTGCAGTTATTCTGACTGCCTTTTTTTGTTTTGTGAGAACTCTTTGCATGTTAGTGGCAGAGGTTCCACCCCATGCTACAAGTCCATATCTCATGTGTGACTCGAAAAGCGCAAAGTATGCTACTTTTGTTGTGATGTCATCTGTTGCATTTTTTATATGTTTAAGAGCATAGAGATGCTTTAACTTATTTTTTTACATATTATAATGTCCACATGAGGGGTCCAGGTTAAATTCTTGTCGAGTGTGATATATGCACAAGAACTTAGCTTCATCTTCCACTTCTACATCTGGAATAAGTCGTGGCACTTCATGAGATATACGGCCAAAAGCTATTTGAGTTGTTTTAGACATGTTTACTGCGAGATCACTGTTATGGCAGTATCAGTATCGGTACGCCATACTAAAGTGACACATAGGATTTTACTTCTAGATTTTCAGCTAGTGGTTCATTAAACAAGGTTTGTGTCATCAGCATACATAAGAGTAAGGCAAGCGTCTCCTATTTGTTGGGGCAAATCGTTGGTAAAAAGAATAAATAGTAAAGGACCCATAACTGACCCTTGGGGAACTCCCTCGATTTATTGGTTGAAAACTTGATCTTGCTTTTCTTATTAGGCTGTTATCTCTGTGCTTTAGTTCTATACAAACTGACTCCTGCCTGTAAGGTAGCTTTGAAACCATTCTCTTACTATCCCTGATACCCCCAGGAAATTCAGCTTTTTAATGATTAGCTATGGTGGTCTTTTTAACTTATTGTCAAACGCTCCTTCATTTGTCCATAACAGCCAGGCTGTCCTCGATTCTACTGACCAGCTCGTTTCACAGGACGCCTGACTGGTAGGCATGTTGGTTGTGATGAAGGGGTGTGTTAAGAAGCAACGCCCTTATATGCCTCTCCAGGAGTGTCTTGAGGAGAAATCAGGAAAGACTGATGGAGTGGCTGAAAGATAAAGCATCAGAGTAGTCTGCTTTTCCTTTAGAGGGAATGAAGACCCCTGCTGAGACACCAGGCCTGAGGAATGTGGGCACGGATGTAGGCCTGGCCAGGCTTCGCCTAAAGAGTTCACGTTTATATGAAATTGAGGGCATCCGGTCCTTGCTGATGAAAAAGAAAACCATGAGGTGCGAAGAAGAAACCCATGGTAGATGCTGTCCCCCCAGGAGACTTAATTAATTAAATGGGTCAAACTTGTTTGTTGCGAATTTTACTTTGTGAGAGTAACAACCCTCTTGGCTATGTTCCAGCTTTTACGACCAGGGGCCTATTTCATAATAAGCTACAAGTTACAAGTTACAACTTGTAACTTGTAATTTCCATTAGATTTGCATTGGGCGATCAGCTGATTTACTAATAATATTAGTTTGTACTTTATTATGAAGGGCCCCAGTCCTCGGCCATTGCGACATTCTATCGGTGCAGCCATAGACACTCCTGTGTTGTCACTCTTAAAAATACAGCCAGGGAAGTGAGTTTCCAGGAGTAGTTCAAGACCCCACCAACCCCAGTGGTGTATTGTCCTCCCGATAGCTTAAGATCCCTAGAGGCCAACAGGTTTGGACGCTCTAGAACCCCAGACTGTGAGACTGTTTACTTTCTGCTTCTGTGTACACTTTATACATGAACTTTGTTTGGGCTTTTTAATTGCAATGCTATAATTGTATTCTGTGAGGGCCTTTGTGATTCATAGATACGGCTCCGTTTGCATTGATTATTGATTAAATAGATTCCTAACGCCTGCCCTCATGGAACTCAAATTCGCAGTCAGTCCACCATCCAATGTTGGAACTGCGTTTTCTCTGTCCCAAAAACAATAATTGTAAATTGTCATGGAAGCAAGTGGTCATTGCGTCCTGTAAGTCGGTTGACTTAGCCAATGTCTACAAAAGTAGCTGGCCCTCCCACACACAGATCACAACCTGGAACTGCAGGTCAGAGCTTAGTGTGACCAGTCGTTCTCCTGGGGGTTTGGAAGGAGATATACATACGCACCTGTGGTCATGAACGATCCTTCTGACTTACGTGCCACGCAGTTTGTCTATGATCACTCTATGGATCGATACGTTGTACTGACAGTAATGCCAATTACATCTTGTCTGGTTCGTGACGTCAGTTGGTTACCTACATTACAATGTACAAGTTATTTAAAACACAATTTTGGAGAAGAGACTCAACTCTTGGATTAGTGTCAGAGCAACAGTACTTCCCTATCCATTGGCGTGGTGTGCGTTGGCGTACAAACCTAGGAGAAGTTGTTGATCACCAACGCACGTTGATTCCACTAAGTTCTCTCAATCAAAATGGTTCCCTGGACTCATAGGGCTGGTATACTTAGCCTGTTTAAACTAGCTCACCCTTTGTTTCTCCCAGGCCTGCAACTCTTCCTTGGTGCATCAGCCATAGGCGAGAGTTCTTGGATGAGGATAAGCGGCAGATTGAGGAAGCACTGGCAAAAGGTAAAAGGCAAATCTATAACATACTTTTCATCAAAATCGTTCTATTCGTTTTCGATAAAATCCTATTTCCCCGTTATTTTATGGGTTTTTATGAAAAATCGCCATTAAAAATAAAAATTTCAAAATATTAAATTATAAAATGCCAGCAGATACCTACCATGGATTTAATACCTAGATACCAAATTTCATCAAAATTGGACAACATGAGTGGTGGTAGCTCTGTACACATCCACACACACGCACACTCAGACACACACACACACACACACACATCACTTCTAAAACCACTTTTTTGGGTTCAGGGGGACCCAAAACGGATATATCCACTCAAAACCCAAACTCGAAAATTTGATGAAAACAAAACTTTCTCCATATACTAGGGGAAAAAAGTAAAAAGTAAAAGTGTCTATACAAAAACAGCTTAGAATGCAAAGTAAGCTACATGACAAGTAATCGAGCCTTATAGAAAAGGAACACGTATGGATGAAAACATTTTACCAGGTACAGCTGCCTTTAACTACAGGCCGCGGCCTGGTAGAATTGGCAACGTCGCAAGTGGTGTTGTTCAGTGACAGACGCCCCGATAACATGACAGACAGGTGACATCAGCTCATTAATTCGCACTTTATTGATTTAAATTTAAATTTATGAACATAAATTTATTAAAATATTGAAAATAAAACATACAGAATTTAAACCCGAAACAATATGAATTAAAATCTATATCTGTACATTTTTAAGTGGAGTCAATATTGTCATAGTCCAGTAACCAATCTTTCGTAAATACACAAATACCATTAGCTGCTACCAAACAAAAACAGCTGTTACAACACCACTTGCGACGTTGCCAGTTCGAGGGCCGCGGCCAAGATTTTGCTTTGAATGCGACTACTTCTTAACTTAGAATTTGATGCATTATAATTTTATTAGATTTTTTTTAAATAATAAACCTTTATTCGGTTTTTATCTTATATCTTTTTTTATTATCAGCAAGTTTGGTTGGTTAGGTTAGGTTTTTCATAATTGAAAATTTTAAAATTAATTTTATGATAAACATTTTTTTTATAATTAAAAAATTAATGTTATAGCTAAAAATTATAAAATTAATTTCAAATTTTTTCAACTTAGCGGTTCTAGCGACGAACGCTGACACTACAAGATATCTTAGCCATAATCCCTCCCGTGTGCCCCTCCGGCTCATCTCATCCTGCTTCCGGCCCCTGCCTCTGCCATCAACCAACCAGTCAACAAAAACAAAAACAAAGTCCACCTACCTAACCAAGAACCAACATCAATCAAAATCAAAATCATAACCTATCAAATCCCTAGGGACTGGGCTTGGCCTTTTAATAAGATAAGCTGTAACTTATTTATTGTTATAGGCCTACTGATGAAGCATAAAAGATAAAATAAAATGTTTTGCTAGTGTAACCTTAGTCGTGTAGCCTTAAAGTACTAACTAGGTACCTAAAGTGTAGAAAATGAAATTTTGATTGGAAGACTAATCAACAATGGCCAGCATTACAGCTTATACAGTTAATAATAAATTACATTTGGAATGTACATTATTTTTACATCTATGACAACAAGAGAGGTGAGACAAACCTTCATCATATCTAGTCGGGCCTCTAGGCCTATATAGGGTGTGCCAAAATCTGTTTTTGGTTTTAACTTTAGGATGTTAAGGGTTCTGCTAAAGGAAAAGCCGTTTTTGGATAGGCCTAGATAGATTTACCTTGTCTATTAGATACACATTACAGTTTAAAAGAAATCTAGGTTACAGTATAGGCTACTCTGTTTAACAAGTACTAGGGTATGTACGTGACGGGTTTAAAATAGGCTATTACAGTAGGTCTCATAGTAGTGATGGGCGATACGGACGCGTATCGCGATACAGCGATACGATACGTATCGGAAAAAAATATCGTATCGCCAGATTGAATCGGAAATCTGTATCGCGATACGCGAATCGTATCGTCAAAAATATCGAAAAACGATACGTATCGTATCGTTTTCCCCCTCCCCTACCTAACCTAGAAACGGCAAATTTATATAAGTACCTGGGGACCGAGCTTTGCTCGGGGAAAATCATTAGTTTACTCTGAAAACAGTCTAAGTATTGCAGATACATTAATCCATTCCCACACTCCATGTTGATATATGTATATAGTGAAGTCCATGTTTAAAGGTATTACTCTTTGGTCTTTGTGTATTCTCTTTTAAGTGTATTTGATTATTTGATTTCCGATTGAGAATAAAAGATGTCGGCTCATTAACTGCAGCCTAAATGTATTTCTGTCGATGTTAATTACAATTTATAATAAATAGTATTGAAACTTCAATTGTGTTTTTATTTAAAACATGAAACATGGTGTCTTATAAGTGGGATACAAATAAATTCAAGTGCGTGAGTAATAAATTAACATAAAAATGTGTTATAACAATGAGTGAGTCGGAAGATGAAAACGTGCTTCAACAAACTGAACAAAGGACTGTGTCTAGAAAAACTGAAAATTTCACAATGGTTCCATGCAATCTTCAGAATTTTAATTTCGAGGGCAATTTAGCCGAAAATTGGAAGCACTGGTATCAGAAATTTGAGATTTATCTCTTGGCTTCTAACCTAAATTCTGAAAATGACGCTAGGAAGGTTGCTCTACTACTACATAATTTGGGTGACAAATGCATAGACATTTTCAATTCGTTTAACCTCTCATCCGAAGATGCAAAAAAGTACGACGTGGTGGTAAGTAAATTTGAAAACCATTTCTCGCCTAAGAAAAACCTCACGGTTCTGAGACATAAATTTCTAAATAGGAAACAGCTGCCATCTGAATCCATCGATAGTTTCTATACAGACTTAGTTAACTTGAGCCTCGCTTGTGAATTTGACTCTGTCCGCGAAAGTCTTGTTTGCGATGTCTTAATATCAGGGCTTAACTCTCAAAACCAGAATATCAGGGAACGTTTATTGAGAGAGCCGGAGATTAACTTGGAGAAGACTTTAGCAATCTGTAAAGCTGCTGAGCTGTCTAAACAACACATCAGAGAACTTGAAGCAGAACATAATGTCCATACAGTAAACGTCCATAAGCAACGAGAGAGGGGTTACCAACAACCACAAACGTTCAGACAGAAACAGGTTCATCAGGACCAACGGAACAAATTTCATCCACCGTCACAGCAGAAATCAACTGGGACAGGTAGGCCTAACAAAAGTACAAGTGCTAAGAAGTTTATTTCAAACTGCCGTAATTGTGGGAAAAATCACGGTATTAACAAGTGCTCTGCGTATGGCCTAGTGTGCTATAAGTGCGGTAAAAACAACCACTTTGCCAGTGTATGCAAATCAGCCAAAAAGGTTTGTGAAGTAGGCCTAAGTTTAGATTCTAATTCGAGAGATGTAGCTATAAGGCAAGGTAGGCAAGACAGTTCTTCTAAAAGTACTTGTGCACAAGAATATTTTTCAATTGATACGGTATCGCTCACGTCTGAATCTATACCTAATTACGTGATTGACAAAAACTTTTTATTCAGTAATATATGTTCAGTTAATGATTCTGTTCCTAAAAATTACATGTGTAAAGCCAGGGCTAATGAATGGCTAGAGAATTTGAACATTAGGGAACACACAATATCATTTAAAATAGATACAGGTGCTCAGACAAATATCATCCCAATTGATTTGTTTAATAGGCTAGGCCTATCAAAGGCATTAATACGCACCTCAAATATAAATCTTAGTACACTAACTGGTGAAAAAATACCGGTACTAGGTATTGTAGATTTAGATTGCTCTTTCAATAGGAAAATGTTCTGTATTACTTTTGTAATAGTTGATGTGAAATGTTCGCCAATTTTAGGCTTAAATTCTTGTCGCGTGTTAGGTCTTATAGCAGCCTACAACGGTCAGGTATTGTCTGATGTTAAGAACCAAAGTGTAAATAATATTGCTCTAGGTCAAAATATGCACAGGCCTAATGAAAGTGTACATTCTGTTAGTAGCATTTTGAATGAATATAGCTCACTTTTTGATGGTAGTATTGGTAACATTCCTACAACAGTTCATTTGTCATTAAGTGAAGATGCTAAGCCTATTATTGAACCATGTCGTAGAGTACCATTCGCTTTGTTAAATCCTTTGAAAAATGAACTTGAATTAATGGAAGCTAATGGAATTATTGTAAAAGAAAATGAACCTACAGAATGGGTTCACAGTTTAGTTTTAATAAACAAAAAAAATTCTGGACTAAAGGTAGTATTAGATCCAAGAAACCTGAATAAGTATATACAAAGAACACACTGTCAAATGCCAACTATAGATGAAGTGTCATCAAAGTTTAATAATTGTAAGATATTTTCAACTCTTGATGCAAGCAGTGCATTTTGGATGCTTAAGTTGGATAATATTAGTAGCAAGTTGTGTACGTTTAATACACCTTTTGGTAGATATAGATACCTTCGTTTGCCATATGGTATCTCAAGTGCACCGGATATATTTCATTCTACTGTATCTCAAATATTTGAAGGTATTGATGGTGTAGTCACCTACATAGATGACATTTGCATAGGTGCTCCTGATAAACAAACACATGATTTAAGATTAAAGGAAGTATTAAAAAGAGCTAAGGATTTTAATATTAAGTTTAACTCTAGGAAATGTAAATTTGCTGAGAGTGAAGTTTTGTTTTTGGGTCATCGGTTTACTGAGTATGGTTTAACTCCGGATCCTTCTAAGCTTAAAGCTGTACAGGAGATGCCAATACCTAAAGATCGTAAAGACTTGGAAAGATTTTTAGGAGTTACCAATTACTTATCAAAGTTTATTCCAAATTATTCGACTGTAACATCTCCTTTGCGAGTTCTTTCACATAAAGATGTTTTATTTCAATGGAATGCCGAACAACAAAATGCATTTTTGACTTTAAAGTCTTTGTTAGTATCTCCTCCTGTTTTATCATATTATGACCCAAGTAAGCCAATAACATTGTCTGTAGATTGTTCCTCAACTGGTTTAGGTGCTGTATTGTTATGTGGTGATAATCCAATTGCGTATGCGTCTAGAGCGCTCACTAAGACTCAGTCAAATTATTGTCAGATAGAACGAGAAATGCTAGCCATAGTTTTTGGTTGCACTAGATTTCACCAATTTATTTTCTCTAGGAAAGTAACTGTTGAAACTGATCACAAACCCTTAGAATGTTTGTTTAGGAAGCCCATTACTGCTGCTCCTTTAAGATTACAGCGAATGATGCTAAAAGTTCAACGCTATGACTTAATTGTTGTATACAAGCCAGGTAAATTGATGTATATAGCTGATACACTGTCACGTGCAGCACTTCCAGTAGAAGGTAAAGAAGATATTGATGTTTTAGATGAGGACATCATTTGTGAGGTAAATATGTTAAAATCTTATCTTCCCGTGTCTGAAAGTAAACTAAACCTGCTAAGAGAAAAAACCAGTTCAGATGAATGTCTAGGTATTTTAAAGATGTATATATCTAAAGGTTGGCCTCAAAAGCCTGAAGTCAGTAATATGGTTTTACCATTTTGGAGTATTAAACATGATCTTCATATTGTAGATGATCTTGTTTTCAAAAATCAATCTATTGTTGTACCTAGTTCACTTCATAAAATGATGCTTGAAAGTTTGCATTGTGGCCATGTAGGAAAACAAACATGTGAGATTAGGGCACGCAATTTATTGTATTGGCCCACCTTACATAAAGACATTGAAAGTTTTGTAAATAAATGTAGTGTTTGTGCTAAGTTTAAGCCTATGAATGCAAAAGAACCGTTGTTGTTTCATGATGTACCAGATTTGCCTTGGCATAAAGTGTCAGGTGACATTTTTGAGTTTGATAACCAATATTTTCTTGTACTAATGGACTATTATTCTAAATATATTGAGTTAGTATCTTTGTCAGACATTACTTCAAAAACTGTAATCGAGAAATGCAAATCAATATTTGCTCGCCATGGAATTCCTGTTACTTTAGTAGTTGATTCAGGAAGTCAATTCACTTCTAACGCTTTTCACGAGTTTTCTGTGTTGTACGATTTTAAGCTAGTGATAGTTAGTCCAAAACACTCTCAATCTAATGGTCAAGCTGAGTCAGGTGTCAAAATAGCGAAAAATTTACTGAAGAAAACAAAAGAATCTAAGTCTGATGTGTATCTTGCATTGTTAAGTTATCGTAACACTAGTAAACAATATCAACCTTCACCGGCAGAGTTAATGTTTAGTAGAAAACTCAATGGCCTATTGCCACTGTCTAAAAGTAGTTTGCAGCCTAAAGTAACAAAACCTAACAAAATTTTGTCAGACAAGAGAAAAGATTGTATTAAAAAGTACTATGATAGAAATAGCAAAGAGTTACCCTCTTTAAATGTAGGAGACAAAGTGTATTTTAAGAAAACTGTTGATTCACCTTGGACAGCAGGAAAAGTTGTAGAAAAAAATAGAATCCCCAGATCCTATGTTTTGTCTGATGAGAAAGATAAAATGTTTGTAAGAAATAGGAAGATGATTAGGCCAGATTTGTCTAATGATACAGTTAATGAAACCATAATGCCTGAAACAAGTCCTAAGTC